GTGCTTGTAACAAACTCTCATAACTTCAATAAAAAGACTGATCGATACTCCCAACGAGCAGGCAAGAGTGTGACACACACACACACACACACACACACACACACACACACACACACACACACACACACACACACACACACACACACACACACACACACACACACACACACACACACACACAGTGTGACTGCTGGTGGGCAACAGTAATAAAGTCTCAGGGTTCGATCGACCACTATGATGAATTACCAACTAATGCACACACATACATGAACACACACAGTATCAGGTACACACATGTAAGAGGAACATTGTTTTGAACAGAGAGCACAGTAAGACACAGTTAGCGGTAAACAGACGGTGAAACAGTCGCATGTCCAACTAGTGTCTAGAGAGTTTAAATTAATCAGAACAATCTGAATTATAATATGTAGTTTCTCTTGCTCCCTCAGGATGTCCTCTTTATCTTGTCATGATGGAACATATATTCCACATTTAGCACCACCGATACGTCTCTTTATCACCAACATAATACCGATCGATTCATCCTACTGCTACTCTGGTTGCCTTTCCAGCAGTTTACTGGTTCTCATTGTTTTCCTCAAAGTAGCGTCTGTGACATCATGTGTCTTCAAATAGAATTGATTGGTAATCCAAGGGACTAAGGAAAATAGAAACAGGCTTAAAAAGGTACAGTGCCAATATCGCTGCCGGGTTCAGAATATTAATAACTTGTTCATAAGATGTTTATTGGCCCATTTAGTCCAAGTTATATGCTCCTTTATTTTATTCCTCCTGTCAAGCACAGCCCCAAAAAGAAAATGTGTTCACTAAGAGATGTTCCCCCTTATATCTGTCACAATTAAAATGTTACAGTTAATGTTAACTCTTTTCTATATTCACTAATAGAATGTCATTTTTTGGTATTTGGCTTAATTAATGCATGTTTACCATCTTTGGCACATTGAGTGTAGTGCCAAAACATAATAAATATTATGTAAAAGTAATAATCAACCAAGAAGAATAGCTTAAAGTTAAGCAAACACTTCCTTATCCACACTCCCAGCATGCTTCATGACCTACTGTATTACATTGCCTGGATCAAATTATGAGTTGTATGAATACATATAACAACAAGAATGGTAAAGCTTTATTTCCCCTCTACATTAAAAAGGAAATCCAGAGAGGAAAACGTGGAAGCAGTACATATTCTCTGTTAACAAGGTGTGTGTCATGCTCTCTGTAAATCTCTCACAAATCATGCAGAGTGTGTGTTTGTGCGCACATGTGTGTTAATGCATGTGTGAGTCACTTGTTCTGCTCTGACTCAGTCTTTACCAGAACGTGAACCTAAAATCTCTTCTGGTATCAAACTATCTGGGATGCTTACATCATTTCCTGCACTGGTTTTTCTGCACAATTGTTAAGTTGCTCTAAATATAACGGGCCTGGTCACAGGTAAAAGCTTTTCAAAGTGCTACATTTTCTATGATGGGTTGACTTCTTACAGCCTTTTGCACAATTTATGTTTTGTGGTTATTTTAAAGCTTAAACAACACTTTTTATTAAATGAAAATGTGCTGCCTTGTGTTAACATTTTAGTATGTTAAATGGGCTGGCAGGACAAAAGCAATATACAATATATATTTGATTACTTCACCTTGGGCTTAAGGAAATTGGGACGGGCACTTTTCACACCCTGGTGATGTCTTATAGCCTGAAAGTTAATCAACTAATCATGAAATAATAGCCAGAGTAATTGATCATGGATCATTAGTTGCAGCCTAAAGGGAACACTATTTCCTGCATTGGAAGGTCGTAAACCTTGAGCTGCAGTATCGGCCAATATAGACATCATTTTATGATTCTGGTATGAATCCGAACACAATAAACGTATCAACTATGTTTTATCAATTAGTTAACATATACTGTACAATTATACCATTTCTAACTCACCGCTTACTCTAAAAGATGTCCTAACATCCGGTAATACTTCATTCACCTAATCCGCTTTTAAAACCAATATAGCCTTTAGTCCTCATCAGTCACATGACCCGTTTCTGCCTGCAGGTTTTAAAACCATAATTTAGATGAGCCTTGTTAAAAAACTTGTAAAGTGCAGCATACTTCAAACAAGTGAAAGCAATACATACTCGTGACCATGAGTCCAGGACTTCCTAAACTTTATGTGGTGTGAAGTGTGTGTGATTCCAAAGTGTTAACGCACGCTACATTGCTAACACATGAGCTGGAGCCAGGGTGTCGGCCCGGAGGCGATGACATCACGTCATGGCCCCATCATCACATCATGACCAGCGCCCATTTATAATGATGTCACAGCAAAGACAGCCAATCCTGGATCAGCTCCAGTGGGGACGGGGAGCCAATCAACAGCAGCTGTTTGAAAGGTCATGACCCTGCCCACCCAGATAGACAAGTTGCATGTTGAATTGGGCTCTCACACACACACAAACACAAACACACACAAACACACGCATACATGTGCACTTTGAAAAGTCACCCTGCATGTACGGATCTAGATGACAGCGCTTGGTATCAAAGCAGCGCTCATCGTTTGGTGCTAATTATTAGCATCTGCTGATCCTTGAAACAATCTGCTTGATCTCCTGCTGATAAACAAATAATCAGATATGACTCTCTGATCTGGAGAAGATTCAAACGCTCACCCTGTAAACGGGTTTAAGCATCTCACACACACACACAGTTCACAAAGAGGTGAAAACACAACCCACAGGAGATTTGAAAACACATATTCTGCTTAGAAATAAAAAAACAACACAGACAGAAGAAATAAATGAAACATAAACATACAATTATTTTGTTGTTTTGTAAGTCAGTGAAGCTCGGTGTAACTAAGAAGTTTGCTTTGATCTCTGTAGGAGCATCAGTGTCTGTGTTTTGAGCCCCTAAGCAAGGGATGGAGCCTTGCTCGTTCATCGTTCACTGTCCAGTTAAGGCATCAGATACATCAGTGAGAGGTGAATGAGGTTTTTTCTTTACCTTTGGCAGCCTCTCTGGGTCCCCAGGGTGCCGAGGGATGACCTTCTGAAGCCTCTGGAAGCCGTAGTCAATGGTCGGCTCGTTCAGTGCTGCAGAAGACAAATGGGAAGGGGGAATTAGTTAAAATGGTTTTATCCTTACATTACAGTTCATTTAGGTGACACTTTTATCCAAAACAACTTACAATAAGTGCAATAAACCGTGAAGATACAAACTCGGAACAACAAGAAAAAAGCAGATATATTCATTAAAACCATTTAAAATGCTGGTGCACCCTTTTATGTACTACAATTCTTCAACAACATGTACAGGAGCTCTCCTATGCAGATCAAATATACAGAAGTTGCCTAAAGAGCCCATGATTTAAGCACTTCAACTATGGCAAACAATGGTGATCTCATGCTGCACCAAAATATCCAATTAATAATGTCATAACAAATATTTGAACAAACTCGATTGGTTAACATGGACATTGCACTAATACAGTAACACATGTTTTAGAGTGCAGGAAGAGGCACTTGGGTTATTAAAAGCTTCTCTACCTAAATAATACGCGGTGCACCTTTAATACTGTTGGTGTTCAACCTGAGCCTGCGCACATGATAAACAGACAGACAACATCTGTGCCCATCAGCGGGGGGGGTGGGGGGGGGGGGGGGGGGGGGGGGCATGTGGGGGGGAGCAACGAGAAGAGAGGATGACATCCAATGTTACATTACATTACATTACATTTAGCTGACGCTTTTGTCCAAAGCGACTTACAATAAGTACATTCGACCAGGAAGACACAACCTTGAAGAAAACAGAATCATATAAGTACATCAGGTTTCATAGAGCCAAACATTTCAAGTGCTACTCAACTGGCTTTAGGTAAGCCAGTCCTTTATTAGTATAAAAGTGCTTCGTTAATAGTTCTAACGCTCGAAGTGGAGTCGAAAGAGATGAGTTTTCAGTTTGCGCCGGAAGATGTGCAAGCTATCTGCTGTCCTGATGTCAATGGGGAGCTCATTCCACCATCTTGGAGCCAGGACAGCAAACGTTGTGACATTTTGTTCCCAAGCACCATGCTGATATCAAGTATGTAGGTTTTTTTAGTAAGACTAGTTTGGAAGTTAATGAACCTGCTCAGCATGATTTCTAAAAACCTTCAGAATCCCATCAGAGGTGAGAGAGCTGCTCGTGACTGTAAGGTTGGCAGTTCAGATCTAGCTGAGGAACTGTAACTGAAAAAAGCTGTTCCCATTAAATATAAATGAAGCAGCCCAACAAAATGAAACATGCAAATGTACAGAGATGGAGAGACCTGGTAAAGTAACTAATGGTGTCAAAAGCATCTTTATAATAATAACACTGCAGATTACATTTAAAGGGTCCTAAAGAATGCTTAATGTTCGCTTTAATGTTGCCATTATGTCCTTCTACAGTGTTTATCTAATCAGCATGTCAATGAAGTTGGCTCTACACTCAGTAAGTCACAGTGATGGGATAAAGTGTTTCTGCATTTATTTGTCTGTACTGTTGAACAAGTGTATGCATGCCAATCCTGAACTTACTATGCAAAAAGTAAGGTCACTTTTATAGCAAACACATTCAACAAAAATAGCCACAACTTTAAAAATGTAGCAATTTAGGAAGCCTGAAGTGTGTCGCCATTAAAGGATAAAAGAGGAAAAGAGTCTGTGCGAGATGAAGGTGTGGGGTGCAGATGGTTTGTGTGTGTGTGTGTGTGTGTGTGTGTGTGTGTGTGTGTGTGTGTGTGTGTGTGTGTGTGTGTTTATGATGTTCAACTGTGCAGCTGGAGTAATATTTGGTACTTTCCACATCCAACACTGATAAATTACTTGCAGCTGAATGTCTTATATGTTGTTTAATAGTTTCTTGTAGCGTGTGTGTGTGTGTGTGTGTGTGTGTGTGTGTGTGTGTGTGTGTGTGTGTGTGTGTGTGTGTGTGTGTGTGTGTGTGTGTGTGTGAGAGTGTGTGCATATGTTTCTGGTTGTTGTTATGTCCTAATTCACTCAATTTGTTAGAAACACAAGTTCATGAATTGTGAGTTGTAAAAATACCAGATGGCTAACAGTCATGAACAATACTTCCCACACTCACAAGAACATTCCTTTTTCAAATTCTGGACAATTTATGATTTTATGATTTATAAATGTGAAAATGACAATGGTAAACGGTTGAGGAAAAAAAAAAGAAGGAAGTTAAGCAAGGGATATACGAAATCATTTTTTTTAAAGGGAGGTGAGGGAATGAGAAGAGAGCATGTGTTATCCATCCAAAAAACACAGAAAAAGGCTCAGTTATGGTGAGAAAAACAAAAGTAGAAAAACAGCTGCCTAACACTCGGTGGGATATCAACTGTCAGAATTAACTGCCAGTGTCAGATCCACACTCCCTGCACATCTCTGGAGACGTTTAACCGATGCTAGCTTTAATATAACACACACGCGCGCGTGCGCGCACACACACACACACACACACACACACACACACACACACACACACACACACACACACACACACACACACACACACACACACACACACACACACACACACACACACACACACACACACACACACACACACACACACACACACACACACACACACACACACACACACACACACACACATACACACACACACACACACACACATAATGTACATAACAGGATGACCCTAGTTTCGCTGCCTCAAGCCTAAAGTGTCTCCAACCGACTCTTTATTAATAGAACACAATTCTACTTAAATCATTGGATGGTGTGTGCATCTTGGTGTGTGTTTAAGGGTATGTGTAGGTCGTTGTGTGTGGAGGCTCATGTCAGTGTGTGTGTGTGTACTTTGAAGACAAAAGGTCAGGTTTTTCCAACGCTTTCTTTGGAGGTTTCTTACTGCACAAAAACAGAAATAGTATCAGTGCAGCAAAGGGGTCTAGTGGATTACACATTAATCTGAACAGAAACACGGTTGTAAAATGTGCTGATACACTCCCAAAGCAGTTAGGCACTATTCCAAGATCCAACCAGGTCCTTTCCTGATAACAATCAGGCTCTTAGTTAGGGGTGATTTCTAGCAACATATACATGTTTGACAATTTTAAAGTCTTTCTCTGAGCAGCTCCCACGAGTGATTGCATATTAATAAACATCTCTTTATATGCCAATATGTACAGTGAAATAGTAACCACCAATACCATTATAGTTACTATAATTCTTTAGAATTTCAAAATGTCCAGCTGTTCCTAAAAAAATGTGTGTGTCTATAAATATGACAACCTAATCAACAGAAGAAAACACTTTAGCAGATTTGTCTGTGATACTGAGGCTTCAACCCATTTGATCTTGCCTTAATCTGCCACCCTGCTGTCCATTAAAGCATCTCCTCCACCTCCCCCATCCTCCCTCTATTCTGCTACCTCCCCCCTCTTTCTTAACTACACCTTCTGCCACTTTCATCCACCCATCCATCCATCTCGCCATCACTCCCCCTCCAGCCCGCACTCGTCCTCCTCTCAGAGTCCAGAGCTGTCCGCAGATCAATACTCATAGAAGTTTCATGAGGACAGACCCTCCACTCCTGTTTCACAATAAAATGTGAGCAGGAGGGGGGAGACAGAAGAGACGAAGAGGGGGAGGGGGCCAAGAGAAGAAAGCATGTCTAAGAGTTCTTATGTGCGTATATTAAACTGTACAATTGTGAGGAAATCTTTTGACAGTAAGGTGGGTAATTAAGCAGGAAGGGAGAAAGAAGGGTGAGGCTGGGTGGGAAAGACAGAGCTGATGTAAAAGGAGAAGAAGAGGAGGATGAGGAGGAGGAGGAGGAGGTGTGGTAAGATCGATTCTCTGGCCAGCCTGCAGTTCAATACCACTGAATTATTGCTTCATTCTTCCCCTTATGAGATGAGATCTCTTTCTCTCTGGCTCCACTTCTCTCAGTGACTTTCTGTGTGTTTGTATATGTGTGTATGCACATGTGTGTATCTGCATGTGTGTATCAGTTTATGTGTGATCCACTTATGGGCAGATCAATACTTTACAATCTGGTTTTAAAAGTCCACCTTTCTGTCTCACTCTTCATGTGTCTCTTCGTTTTACTGTCTCTGTCTTTATATATTTCAATCTCTTTTATTTCTCTCCTTCTGTGTCTGCAAGATGAAAGGTGAATTGCTCGTAAAAAGAAAGAAAAAAACAAAGATTGTGACGTTTTTGCAGCTTTTACTAAAAGTTTCTTCTATCCACAGCTCAGATATGGATTTTCTTATGCAGCTGCATTGACAATAAATCAGCTCTATATGTGTGTGTGTGTGTGTGTGTGTGTGTGTGTGAGAACATTTATTGATTGTCACTTTGTACCATTGTATTTTTATAGAAGTGTGTGATGTCGAGAATGTTAATTTTTCCCACCAGGCCGATGAAACAGCCATACGGCACTTTGTGTATGTTTCTGTGTGTGTGTGTGTGTGTGTGTGTTTGTGTGTGGTATACCATCTGTTTACCAGACTACTCACCATCTTTCCCTCATATCTCCCTGATTTACAATTACTTTCAACTCCTGCCCCCGTTTGAAAGTGTGTGTGGTAAGTTGTGTAAGACACGACCCTACCCAAGGGTGGCTTTGCGTGTGTGTTTACGTTGCGCGTCTTTGCATACTTGCGTGTGTGTGTTTAATTGCTCGGTCCTTACACCCAGAGGCAACCACAGCTAAGAAGCACTGAAAAACCTCAACAGCCAATCAGCTTCCACCGCAGTGACCTTTCACCAGCGGCTTCCAGAAAGAAGCCAACCTTGAGGCGAGGTCAGGCAACCGCAGTAACGGATCGCGTTTCCTGGGTCACATGTTGAAGCCATCAGCCAATCGCGAGGTCACGCGGGGTCATCTCCGCCCAATAGGAGATGAAGTTAGACACCAGACGGACCAATTACCAGCCGGCTAGCCTCAGGGTCAGACCAAAGATGTTTTGACTAAAGAACAGTGAAGGAGCTGACTGGACCTTTCTCTGGACAAAGAAACTACCGACTAGGGATATTAAAACAACTTCTAACACTCACACTACCCGTAAAAAAACTTGACTTTTTCTCAGTCTACCGAAGATGGTCAAGAAATGTAAATCAAAAACAATATTTTGCGTCTGTTTATTTCACTTATTTATTCAGTTCTTTAACAGCAGGTCCATTTTCTCGCACTAAACATTTCTGAATGAGTTCCTAATTTACTTTGTCTAGTCTGCCAACAAATAACTCCTTCCTCCTGCTTTTGAATTCTTCTTCTGCTGTTGCTTTTCATTGTGTTTCTTAAATGTATTATTCAGGTAGGTTTTGGGTTAATATTTAGCTGTTAGAACTGGTAAACGGAAGTTCAACCTACTTATCAAAACAATTGAAGATGAACAGTTCCAGCAATCTGAAAAAAAGATAATAAGACTACCAAGTAAAATGACTTTTTCTTAATAATTCCAGTACACCCCCCCGCACAACAACTCTATAGATTCACCAAATACAAAATGGCATTAGAAAAACAAGAACTACACTCATGCTATAACAAAACCGAAGAGCTTGACGGATGCACCAAACTTTCTAAATAATTTCCTTGCAGTTTAACTACAAACCCTAACCAAACGGATCCATTCCATTGAACACTATTATACCTGGTTGCCTCCTAACACTGCCATTTAACAGCCTTGTCTTAATGACTGTGGCTCAATCTTGAAACACAAAACTCATCACCTCCTTTAGTATTTTCCCGGAGATTTAAAAGCCTTCATGAGCTTGACGCCAGCATTAAAGGGACAATTTATTCATGGTGGATTTTTCTTTCATATCTATTGATCAGGTTTAAATCCTCATCTTTATCTGTCGGCCATTAAATGTCTTGGAAGAATTTACACAGCAGCTGTTTTTCTTTCCTGCCTTTCCTCCCTGGGAATGACGTCATCATTACGTTGTGATGGAGCCATGTTGAGCGGATCAATACCAGACATCACATCACCTCTATCCATTTCCACATGTATGTGAGAAGAAAATGAGCAAATACACACACACACATACAGACACACACTTTCTTCCACATTTCTGTAATTTTCTTCCTTGACTGAGTTTAGCAGGAAAACGCTCATTCACAGTCAACAATCACAATTCACACACTCCTTTCCAACATTGAGTGTGTTTGTATGTTTAACTTGTGTAAGTGTGTGCATGTGTGTGTGTGCGTGCGTGTGTGTAAGTAAACTGGGTGTTCTGGATGATTTCACTAATAGTTTCAGTATGGAGAGCTATAAAGGGCAGACTGTTTAATTGTAGCTGCTTTTAACGAGCCTCTGATTATGGCAGCGTTCTAGCGAGTGTGGGTTGTTAATGTTGACTAATCTACAGTCATTAGTTCAACACTGTTTGGCCTGGGATTGAACTGCAACTCATATAAGTCATTCACACACACACACACACACACACACACACACCACACACACACACACACACACACACACACACACACACACACACACACACACACACACACACACACACACACACACACACACACACACACACAGACCACACACACACACACACACCACACACACACACACACACACACACACACACACACACACACACACACACACACACACACACACACACACACACACACACACACACACACACACACACGCACACACACATGCAGTCACAGACAAAAACAGCAAAAGCTTGTATTATGCAGACTTTAAATATAAATCATACCCTCAAGAAAATAGAAGAAAACTCTCAACAGATCATTAAATCAATCAATCAATCAATCAATGTTTATTTATATAGCCCAATATCACAAATGTTACATTTGTCTCAGTGGACTTTACAGTTTGTACAGAATATCAGTATGACAATACGACACCCTCTGTCCTTAGACCCTCACATCGTACAAGGAAAAACTTCTGAAGAAAACCCACAGTTTAAAGGGAAAAATGGGAGAAACCTCAGGGAGAGCAACAGAGGAGGGATCCCTCTCCCAGGACGGACAGACGTGCAATAGATGCCGTGTGTAAATTGAAAAGATAATACATTTGCAACATAGGTAGTCCAAATGTTTGGAAATGCATGTGTGTATAATAGGAAGATGAATCAAGAGCATGTACATGTGGATTTTCACGTGTTCATTCGTGTGTACAGTTGACTTACCTGTGTATATGAACCTTCCTGGTGTGCCTTTGCAGAACTGTTTGGACTTGTAGGACAGAGTGACCTCGACGACCCCGGGGATGTGTCTGGGAGGCGTCTGCACCCGGATGGCATGCGGCGTGATCAACTGAAGAAGGAAGGAAAAGGCGGACCAAGACTCAGTACACAAACACACCAAATTATGCAGCTCTGCGTCAGGACAATGCAACCGGTGTTTGGTCCGTTGTTAAAAAATCAGAAAAAGCACTGACACAACTTCTAGAGTTTGATTTCCAACAGAATCTTGATTTGAACTGGTTCTGTTGTTTACACGCCTATTTTTCTTTTAAATCGGACTATGGATCAAGTTGTGACTGTTGCTGTAAATTATTCTGTAAGCACAACTTAAATGTTTGTTTAAGTCAGTGGGTTGGTGATGTATTGCATTACACTTGTAAACTGTGTTTTTAGTTAATCAAACTGATTCAAAATATTGAATAAACACGGTTTCCTTTTTCTCATTCAGTTCACATTTAAGTTGAAGAGGTTCTCTTATATCCAATGTAGAATATATTTGAATAATTTAAACGGGTTGGTATTCATCATAATCTTGTTAAAATACATATTACTGTATGTGATTTGTATTGTGTTACTGGACTTTTGACCTACTGTACAACAGACAATACAACCACTTCAGATACAATCAAACTTTCCAGCACCTATGTTGATGTTAGATAAAGAGGAATCATTGTATTGAACCGAACACGGCTGTACGTGACAAACACTAACTTTTTATAGCATTTCCATGGATGGGTTTCAAAAACAGTTTTTACTACTTGGCTCAGGTTTGAGGAATCTGCAAGTAGGAGGGAAATCTGCAGACAAACAGAACTTGGCAGAAAGGCAATCTCTTCCCACCGACACATTTCTCAAACCGTGTTTTCACGCTTCGGAATCAATAATCAGGTTGAGTGCAAATGGAACATTCGGTTGGCCAAAATAATCCATTAAAGCTGTCCGAGGAACGCCAAGAGAGCCAGGTCAGTTTGAACTGAACTGAACTGAGACTCTGTACACATGTTAGTGTGTGTAAGTGTGGCTCTCAACACTGTAAACAAACCCCTCAGCTCTTAACACACACACCCATCCATGTGTGCCAGCGTATGCACACACAAACACACACAAACTGGGTGTTGTTGTTGGAAAGGAGCCACGGTCGCTCGGCACACACGGTGAGTGGAGTCAGAAGACAAATAAACACTCTGTAGAGGAGTTGCGCTGGGGAAAAGTACGACAGTGTATTTGTGTGTGTGTGTGCGAGCATTAGGCCGATGGCTATCAAAATGTGCTGATTTGATCAGTATTCCACCGAGAAAGAGTAAGAGGGTGTGTGGGTGAGGAAGGTAGAGAGGGGCGGCGGTCGCTTGTTGGGGGGGGGACTCATTAGAGAGGCAAACCTCATTTAGACAAACATTTACACACACACACATTCACATGATCACATGCAGCTAAGAGCCCGGCCATGAGGGAAAGTATGTTTTCAGATTGAATTACTTCCAACGGTCGAGGGCAGAGGCACACAGTTGAGGGGTTGAAACAACATTGAGAAAGGATGATGATTTCTGACAAACTGACCTCGCTCCAAACCAACATGGTACCGAAGATGACTTGGAGACCATCGAAGAAGTTGTCTCCTATGATGATGACTGTAGCGCCTCCTGTAGTCCATCCTTCACTGGGACTAATGGCCTTAATGCAGGGAGCTGAGCCTGGAGGGAAGAGAGAAGAACATTTATAAAAATAAAAAAAATCATTTAAAAGAGAAATTAGTTTCTAAACAGGAATCTAGTCCTTTTCATCCATGTTGCAAATGCACCTCATATTTCTCCAAGCTACACCCTTGGCTTTTGGCAGAGGTCCAGATTAGCACAGCACACTTATACTGTACTCTCAATGCGCTGCAGATTCAAAGAGTCCTTCTCAATTGGTCCTTTAGCAGGGAAGTTCCTTGAAAAGTGTCCAGCTCAGTGCAATGAAAGGTGCTGAGAGGATGCTTGTTTTATTTGCATGGTCAAACTGCCATTTGATAATTCTTGAGGGACTTTTTAAAGCTTATTGTTTAAAGACATCCAGGGAGAACATACAGTATAAGAATAAATGTAACTTTGAAAATGAAAACACTGCAAGACTGCTTTTATTATGGACGGGGAGATTCACTTAAAATCTGAGGATTGCTAGTGTTTGGTGCTATCTAACATACACCGTTTGCAAATGTCTTTGCAGGCCGCATGAGATAAAAATTAGCCGCTAAAAAATATGTATTTATGTAATTTATTGCTGTTAAAAAAACAAGTTCGAAATCCTTTTTTTTATTATCCAGTGAAGATGAGAAACATGTGTTCATGTTTTCTCCTACTTCTCACAAGTTTCACGTAATGTGATACTCAAGAGAGAGAACTTGTACTGTTCATTTATTTATTTATCCCAAAGCCCGACTGACATGAGATTATGGTAGTTCATTTTAAACTAATGATATGACATGGATAAACACACACAGAAAGCTCAGCATGAATCGTAATACTTCAAACAGAATGGATACAGTCAGCTTTATGTCACTCCAGCATTGTGGGAGTGAGTATCAGCTCAAATTAAACATATATCACACATATCACAACAACAAAAGCTTGTCTGTCAAAAGCCAAATCTCCTTAAAAAGTGTGTGTGTTATTACCAACAATGTGCTTTAGTCTGGGTGTGTTTGCAAAAAAGACTCATAAGGATATTAGACCTAGTGTGTGTGTGTGTGTGTGTGTGTGTGTGTGTGTGTGTGTGTGTGTGTGTGTGTGCGTGCATGCATGCGTGTGTGTGTGGGGTGGGTTGGATTAGCCAGATGGAGGGGCAGGAATCACCTGATAGGATTAAACCATCAACCATCTGGTGGCCATGCTGCTTACGCTCACACACTTTCACACACAGACAGAGAGACAGACAGGCACACACAAACACACACACACACACACACACACACACACACACACACACACACACACACACACACACAACACACACACCCACACACACACTCTTGTGTTACCATGTTCTAGGTATCCCTGCGTTCCTTCCGCGGGGTCGAGTCTGCGGGCCCGTCGGCCATGTTTGGAGTTGTTGTGGACAAACATGTTGTCGGAGACTGACAGGACATGTCCATCAACACTCACTGTAGTCGATACCACCACCTGAAGAGGGACAGGACAGGATGGGGGGTGGGGGAGGGAAGAGAGTGAGACAGGAAAAAGGTTATATAAAAGAGGACAAAGTTTGGTGAGAAAAGGGGGGAAGAGTAAAAATAAGGGGAATTACAGAGTGTGGGGTCTAGAGATCATAGCAAGGAGGACTTAAAGCGTGAAACTTTGAAAAGCTCCTTAAATGTAACCCGTTATCACTGCTATTACCATCACACTGAACACACACTTAGTGTGTGTGTGTGTGTGTGTGTGTGTGTGCGTGTGTGTGTGTGGTGTCTATCCTCCTCTGTTGAATAGTTCCTGATGGGTCCAGCCCTTAATTATCTCCCAGGGAAACAGAGCTGTCTTCTCTGGTTCCACTACAATAGAGCTGCACAATTAGAGGCAGAGATACTGTCACACATTCGCTACCGTACAACTCTGTCGGTCCTATCTCACACACACACACACACACACGCACGCACACACGCACGCACGCACGCACACACACACACACACACACACACACACACACACACACACACACACACACACACACACACACACACACACACACACACACACACACACACACACACACACACACACACACACACACAACCCCACACACACACACACACACACACACACACACACACACACACACACACACACACACACAACCCCACACACGTGCCATAGTAATAAATCTATCATTATCTTTTGTGCGTCCAGTATCTCCACTCAGTCTCAAGTGGTGTCTTCCTGATTGTGTTGTGGCCATGAAGATAAGGAAATAATAAAGTCTGCACTGCCTTAAATCTTATTCTAAACCCCGCAACATCCTGGGTTTCTTGCTTGCTTTCCAATTCCTCTTTCCTCTTTTTTTCTCCCTCCAACACCCTTTTCTCTTTCTCCCTGCATTGTGTGTATATTTATGTTCTGACTAGTCAGGGTCAGGGTCTCATGTTTCCTGTAAAGCCGATGATAGCTTGTTTACTTACAGAAACACACACATTCCTGTGTTTGTGTTACAATAAACCCCAAAGTTATGTGTTCTGTTACATGTGGAAACACAGGCAAAGAAGATAGAGACTTAGGACATGAAAACATGCACAGAAAAAGATAGAAATAAATGAGAAGAGTAAAAAAAAGTGCTGTGGTTTGTACCTGGAACCTCCTCATGTCTCGTGGGTTTCCTGCATTTTTTAGACAGTTCTGGTTGCACTTGAGGAAAAACTTGAGGAAGAATCTGTGGAGGAAGAGAGGACAGGCAATATTTGGGGGTTAACATGAGACCAGAGTAAAGACTGATTTTCTTCAATACATGTGAATTCAAGGTCAGTCTCCAACACAGACAGAACCCAAAATACAGCTATAGAAATTCATATTTTACACTGTTGGAAAGTCAAAAATGAATTTCCTTGTGGATATGCGGAACAGCTATTTGTTGAAAAAAATCCATGCGAACTGAGATGGCCTTGAAATGTCACATAAAGGCGATAGATGAACATAAAAGGCAAATAAAGCAGCACACTCCAACAAAACTGGTGAGCAAGTAAAATGTTTTGAAAATCTTAAGTTGAACCTTCAGTTTAAAAAAAAAAATGTGACAAAAATGTTTTTGTGAATCCATATTTCATCATATTTCTTAAAACCCTCCTTTCTCTGTTTTTTGGCTGCTTATAGATTAAAACCTTGTCGGTTAGGATTCATATACAGTGAAAAACATGTGAAAAGATAGATTTTAAAATCTACAGAGGTGACACTAACCCTGATGTCAATGCTTTAAGCAAAGGGGAACTATGTTGACATTGGGTGTTTGAAACGGGACCATATGTCATGAATCTATATTACAGAGTAAATCAAACACCCAGATGGCCATCAACAGCTAACAAACACATCCAGGTTGTGTTTTGGTGTGAGCCAGCTGGCCGGCCTGGCAGAAACAACAGAACACACTCGCACAATAACAAAGACCGACACACATGCATACACGTTTATGTTTGTTACATCTGTGTGTTAAACCTCAATAAATGCAACACAACTTCACACGCAGGGAGATGATTCCTCTACGTTGCATTCTGAGTATAAACCTAATTCTATGTCTTTCTGATTCTCTTTTGTTGCTTTGTGTTCGTACTAGAGATGGACAACACATTGATATATCGATATCGTCATATACTGTAAAACTAGATAACTTAAAGTAAGCGTATTTTCCTGTTTTTAAATTACATTACACTACAGTGATTTCATATTTTAAACAAACAGACTGTATAGCTGGTCTAGTATTTGCCATAACCCAATTAACTATTATATCCACATTACTTATCAATATTTATGAACAATCTCCTTGTGTATATATTTTATAAAGCACCAAAAGTAAACCCTACAATATTGGTGCAAATACATTTTGAGGGATTTAAAAGAAAAAAGTGATATTTGATTGATACATCGCCCAGCCCAAGTTCGGTTGCAAAAAGGTTTTGTCTTTTCTAGATTACATTAGTTTCCTATTGTTCTCATAGTGTTCTAGAAAGCAGTCACACATCAGCAAAGCACCACCTTTTGAGGATCACCAAGGAAAATCAGCATCTCTTTGTAGCAACAACATATTATATTAGAAAGTTCCACAAAGAGAGCGAAGCTTTTATATTTAATTTCCTCCCATTGTGTCCCCTCTCTGTATTTATCTTCATGCAGTTAAACCCCATGCTTAAATAATTTCAACTTTTTTGCATCACCTCAATTCCCCCGTGGCAGAGCCTGGTGCTCTACTGTTCAAGAGATGACAGCCCTTGTACTGGACCACCAGAACAATGCAGAGGTGTGCGCTTGGTGTGTGTGTGTGTGTGTGTGTGTGTGTGTGTGTGTGTGTGTGTGTGTGTGTGTGTGTGTGTGTGTGTGTGTGTGTGCAAACATGTACTCCACATGTGAGTGTATGTGCGTGTGTGGCGGTGCAGCACAGCCCAGTGGCAGGTCTGAGTGTAAAACTCTGCGTTAACGAGCTCAGGCTTCGTTGGAACACTGGTGCTGGGATTCTGCATGCCTAATTATCTTGACCCCTCACCCCCAGGTGACAGCCTATCACAGCGGAGGACAGCCACGGTGACCCTGCTGACCTCCCACTGTCTACTCCTTCTCATAACACTAGCATAGCGTTAACACGACCACCTCAGCTGACCCTCCACCGAACATCTCTGTTTAAAGGAAGCTCACACGCTCTGCTCATCTGCCTGAAATAGGAAAAAAACTAAAGCAGCGGCGTAAGAAGAGTTGAGATCTTTACAGAAACTTCATCAGTCCTGCATTCAAATATCTAGCATGTAAGAAAACCATAATATTACTGTACTCAAGTTCTAAATCTGTTGGTTCATGTAGTGCTTTATGTCTGTGAAATGTAGATCAAATGAACTTAGCAAATGTATACCGGTAAAAGTACAAAGCAGCATTAAACCTCATAAAGCAAACCAGGTACTGGAAATGAAACCATTTAGTTCTATTTTTTACATGTTTTTAAAGTTCAGTGTTTCATTGGCAGCTTATTCACTTTTTAGGGCCACAGCAATCTCTGGCCTCATGTTACTTGACATACAATGTTTCAAAATTGTTCCACATAATATAATTTCCAGATGTATTATATGGGAAAGAAATAAAACTGTTTTTTGACGGTTGGTATCTGAAAGGTACCCTGAAATGAAATATCAGACCAGATCTTTTTAAGTTTTTAAGCCTAATTTATTTTGTTATATATTTTCTTCTTTGCTGTTACAGACACACAGTTCACTGCCACTTCCTACAATCTGCAGTCAGCCGAAACTTCTATCTTGTGCTTGTTAAAACACAAGATACTAACAATACAGGTAGTGCAACACATTTTGTTAATCAAAACATTCCTTGATTACTAGCCGACCAATATTTCTGCAAAGGGGAATGAGAACATCTCTCACATCTAACGGCGAAAGACATGTACGTCTTAAACCATAAACTGAATCACCACTACGATCTCCTATGTATTAATTTAACAATTTCACAGTACAAATCATTTCCATCTATCATTGGCTTATCTCCCTTCTGATCTGATGATATTGCTCATTATTT